CGTTTCTTAGTTGATTGTTTTTGATTTGTTTTGCTGTTCATTTGTTTTTGCCTGATTAAAAAAACTTCAATATCATTAGACTCTACTATTCTTCTTTGAGCAAATAGCTCAAGACGGTCTAGAGGTAAACGATGAAATTTATGGCGTAATGGCTTAATGTCTTTACTTTCTTAACAGGGTCATTTATTCATATCAAAGCATTTTAAATAGGCCTAAGTAAAATACCTATTTAATTTTCGATTTTAAAATTCCTTTTCCAAACTCTCAATTTTCATTTAGCCTACATTGTGGTGTTTTATTATTACAACACAGCTTGCACAACTTTTTTGTTTCCCCGGTAAAGTTTTCTCAATTTTCGTTTTGTAGAACATTCCTCCGCATCACTGCGATAATACTGTGTTCATAAGACACAAGTTTCATTCAGGGCTCACGAATGTTTAACATTCCCCAAACTCAATAATCATGAAATTAATTCCTTTAAACATCTTCAAAATAAACAAATATAAAAATGATTGAAATCCAAAAATCGTTTCTTTTGCACATTTCAATAAAGACAAAGCATATTTTGTTTGCGAATAAAATATGACTCTTATGTCGGATTGAGTTTTAGTTTTAAAATAAGTAACTGTCATTATATATATAGCTAGCATTTTTTATCTCAGAAAGTAAACTCGTATAAAAACACCGAACAACGTGCACTTACATAAGAGAAAAAATCCTCTTAACACGAAAATAATAAAGTCTTTCTTTAAAAGTACCTGTGAAACAAGCTTTCCTCGGGGAAAATCATTAGTATTCTCTGAGCGTATTCTTTGGTCAATGCCATTTATCCAAACAGATTTTTGTGGTCTATTTAATTCCTGTAAAATAGTAATACAGTATCGTAGTTGACTTTGATTTGTAAGCAACATTTATGATTCTCATGTAAACTATTAAATAATTGGTTGTTGTTTTTTTTTTTTTTTATCAACAAACCCAAATAAGTTTATCATTGAAAAGGAAATAAAGAAATAAAACATGAAAAAGGATGGCGTTTCATTTATAACTAACACCAAAAAGCAGTTGAAGTAACTTTTAAACAGGCAACTTTTTTACCTAGTGCTAAAAGATATTTTTTATTAACTGACCTGAAAAAGGGGAGTGTTATATCTGAATCTAAAATAACTCTTAAGTGTAATATTATTCCAACTGAATCGGTAGACGCCCGCATTTCATCACTTTCTATGCAACATTCAGGCCTAATTGGTTATTTACTATTGTCAAACTGTTCACAATTCATGTTTAGTTCAAAATCATAAAAATCATTATTTAGTACACAAAGATATTTGTGTCATAACGGTAAATACCTCCTCCAAACCAGCGTAAATCGTGTCTCAAAAAGTAAGGTTTGTGCGTTTAGCATGTATCTAGCGGCGAAGCAGCCGCGGCCGGGACTGCAGTGACGTCATCGCGCTCAGTCCGCTCTGTCTGGCCCACCTCCTTTACTCCATACATCTTGATGTAAAACAGGTTAGTTAAACCTTCAAACCTAACAGAATTGAGCGATAAATAATTAATTGTAATTAAGAAACTGTAAATATTGTACATTACTAATAACGTTGATGTAAATAGTGGCCGCTAAGAATGTACATGGTAAGAACAGCATATAGGAATACAACTGAAAAGACCAAAAGGCCGCTTCATACATTTCCAGACTTGAATTTGGCTTAAGTAAAATTTGTCTAGTAATGTATGAGCGACTGTTACATCTACACTATATCTATTCTATCTATATATTAATTACGTAAGCCGATTCTTTGCGTCAAAATTGTGGTGAGAGACTGGGAAATCGTAGAACGACGGGAGAGGGCTCAAATTAAAGGTCTTGACCCCGTGACGGCGGGAAAAATAGTGAAATGTTAACACAAAATTAGATATAACGTAAAATATTCTCCATAAGAATAGAATTGGAAGTCATTTGCTGCTGATTTTTGTTTACTTCAATACAGCTGATTGTGATTTATCATCAAGCCAGTAAGCAATATGTTACCTAATTTTTGTTGTTTTTTCCTCCCACAATATCTGAATTATTACTAGAGGTTAAAATACCTTATAATACGTCAGTGTGACTTTTTGATCACACTGACGGATTATAAGGTATTTTAACCTCTAGTAATAATTAAATATATTACCTTTGGACTACTTATTTGCCAGCCAATTCTGCAATGTAGCCTACTGTACACAATATAAAACCACGAATAACCTTACTTATAATAATTCAGACTTTTTAGTTAGTCTTACAATGTTGAAATCATTATTTAACTGTGCAATTTACAAACTTGTGTATTTTTTTGTAAATTAGTTAAACACGTGATAAGTAGTAGAATCATCGGAGATGGCTCAAATCAAAGGAATTTAACTTAGAATAGCTGAAAAAATAATGAAGTTTTTTCTTATAACTTGAAGGTTATTTTTGTGTTGAAGGAATGTTTAACATGAAATAACCACATTGACTAAAAAATAAACTTATAATATATAATATATATTTTTATTTTTATAATAAGTCTGTTTTGAATCTTGAAATTATTACCAGAAATGAAAAAATAATTATTTCCCAAACGGATTATTAAGCTTCTTTATTTATCCTTAAGTTTTAACTGAACCTTTTAATAGCTATTACGTAGGAAGGGCCAACAGCTCGTAATGATTAAACTTAACTGAATTTTAATATCTATTATAGTATATTTTTCCCTTTGAATACATGTTCTTGTTAAATTCAATTATATGTAAATTATTTTTTACATTCATAATTATTTTGTTCTTTTTATATATTTCTTCATTACATTTAAACTATATAAACTAAATTTTATACTGAGCTAGGTATGTGTACACTGGCTATGTAGTCTGCAACTAAACCAAGATTAGTTTTACTAAGAACTAATAAGCGCGCGCAAAAAAAGTCATATCTGGGTTATTTTTTTAAATGGTATTTCAATACTGAGCTTTAATTACGTTTGCGTAGAAGGTAATTAAGATGTTTTTTTTTTTTGAGAAAAGTTAGTAGTTAAGTGTGAAATAAACTAATTTGTCAAAGTATATGCATCAACTACCATGCTACGCCAGTTTACGTAATATCCATAAGAATAACATATACATTTTTAATTTGAACTTGTTGTAATATTCTCCGTGACTAATACCGTACAAAAACACTGTATTATACTCAATTACTTGTTTTTGTAAACTCTGAATTTATTTATTTAAGATAATTGTTTAAAGTTGTTGTTTAAGCTAGTTAATGTTAGTTTTCTATAGAAAGGTAGAGTTTAAGTGGAAAAAACAATGATAGCAGATCTTGACAAGAAATAAGGAAAACCAAAGTGTAATATGGATAAGGACTGACCAAGGGACACAAGTACGTTGTTGTCAAGAACAGGGGTTTCTCAATGAGCTGCAGACAAGCCAAATTTTCCTGGCTTTTGTAGCAAGTTGTTTATAATAAATTGTTGTAAGATTGTATGATTTTTAAAGAAATAAAATAAATCTCTTATACCGGTGACAAGTTGAAGGGGAGATACAACTAGCCGCAGGTACAACTAGACGTAGGTACAAGTAGGCGTAGGTACAACTAGTCGTAGGTACAAGTAGTCGTAGGTACAAGTAGTCGTAGGTACAAGTAGTCGTAGGTACAAGTAGTCGTAGGTACAAGTAGACGCAGACGTATGAGGTACAAGTAGACGGTGACGTTCCCGACTAGTTGTACCTGTAGATTTTTAAGAGGTACAACTAGACGTAGAGACAACTAGACGTCCGCACCATCGTCAAGTTGTCTCTACAGCTTTGGACGGGGTACAACTAGACGCCTGTCACCAAAATGCAGCAGGTACAACTAGACGCCGGTACAAGTAGACATCGCCCCTCATATTCTAGATATCTTAAAATTGTTGGGAATTTAAAGTTAAGTAGTTGATGAACAAAAAACTTGATTCAAACAGTATTTTCAAAATCTTAAAGTACTATCTTAAAGTACTGATTAGGCTATAAAGGGATGGTGGCGTCGTCCTGTAATCTAGCTACTAGGAGCTCACAAATTGTGGATATCTAATAGGCATGCACTGTGAATGCGATGCTCCCTGGTGTGGATTGATGTCCACACTAGTGAGTACTACCATTGACTATTGGATACAGAAGAAGACATCCCATCTATATGGATCAGCTGTCGCCAATTTTTTACTAAAAAAGAATGTAGTTGTGTGAGCCAGTCACAGATTGCGCTAGTGTCTAAAACGATATTTTGTACCTTATTTTTCGTTACTAACATAGTTGCTCCGTCACAACAGTTGCTATAATAAGTCATTCCATCAGTTTGACTTGGTAGAAACTATCATGTAATTGGTAGAAATCAGTAATTTAGATCAGCGCAATCTGTAGGTGGCTCACATCAACTAAGACAAATTTTATTAAAAACCTGGCTACAACTTTAACATGGGGATGGAATGTCTAACTACGACTGTCCGCAGTACTATCCTGATAATTAGACCAATTTTTTAATCTGAAGAAACAATTTTGTTCGGATTCCACTATAAACTGAAGGTCCCTTAGTTGCCATTGGCTGTATGGGCTATATTTAATTAACAGCTGTGTCTAAGGATCCATCCTACACTCATATTTGAGTTAAACTATGCACATTGTGGTGTCTCTATCTTAAAATAATTGACAATTTCCTTAATAATTCCTGGCAAATGCCCTATCTTTTTATCTGATAATTGAATTGAATTCATATTTGCAGCTTATACAAATAAAAGAGGTCACATGTTTAACAGTCAAACAGTCAAGTAACTTTTTTTTTGTATTACTTTAGAGTCTCTTAAATTCCCTGTTAGATAGCAACTCAATTTTTAGTTTAATATTTCAGTGTGTCTGACGTGATATAATTATTAGTGTTACAAATATAGTGACATTTCTCATAATGACCATACAATGAGTTCCATTAGGCTATAGCCTACTTGTATGTCTTTGCATAGGAGGCACGCTGCTGGCTGCCAAGTTGGCGTTAGATAGAGGACTATCAAGCTCCACGGCAGGAGGCACTCACCATGCTTTTCCTGATAGAGGGGCTGGCTTTTGTCTCATCAATGATTTGGCAGTTACTGCCCAATATCTGATAGACACCAAAGCTGTGAATAAAGTTCTTATTGTAGACCTAGATGTGCATCAGGTGAGATTGAGCTAAACCTATTTTGACAAATCATTTGCAAACAAATAAAAAAATCAAAATCCACTCCAAATTTTATAATCAAAAGTGTGATTAAAGTCCCATTAACCTTAAACTATTTAATTAAAAAATTTGAACTAATTTTCTCAACATAACAGAAATAATTGAATAAATATAACGTGTCAACAAAGTGGTGTGCATATATATGTCATGATGAGTGTACTAGTGAATGACCGTTAAAAAAAACATATTATGCAATTTGATCTGCCTAGTCTATCACAAACGGTCTTCTCTGTTCTTAAATCTACCCTGTTACGTTAAAAAAGCTGTGTCAATAATCATTTTGCAAAACAAACAAAATGAAATGGCCCATTAAGTTCAATTCAAACTTATATTGTATACATAGTATACAGTAGTTGCTTTCACTAAATAATTTTTGTTTCAGGGAGATGGTACATCGTTTATTTTTGAGAAGTCTGAAAATGTTTTTACCTTTGATATGCATTGCGGCAAGAATTTCCCATTTCGAAAGCAGAAAAGTGATTACGACATACCTTTAGATGTGAACTTGGAAGATGTTGACTATTTAAAAATATTACAAGTAAGGCTATGTTCTCATTCTTTTTTATTAATTTAAATTTAACTTCCTAACAAGTAATTCTGCTACTGGTTTTGACCAATTCAGCTAAACAATTTTTGGAGTGTCCCTCAAGTAAGTTAACATTTATAAATGTTATGAAAACCTGCTATTCAACCATCCAAATTACAAACACAACTAGTTTCAGCACCTACATGGAGCCATCATCAGGCGGTACAAAGGACGTTTTCTTTCTTCATAACCGATCATTTACTATGTCATATGTACGTGTGTGTGTCTTCTTACAATTTTTTTTATGTATTTTAAATTTGACGCTCATTTAGGTAGAGGTAGGTTGCCATGTAGTGGTTTACCTCATGATTGTAAAATAGCTGAAAAATCGTAATTTTCAGTTGTACAGGCCAATCAAAATTATGAGCACCCCGACAGCAACGTTATATTTCAGATTTCAGCTATTTATGATTTAATCTTTTTGAACTAGTGTGTTTGACATATCGTTTTTAATTCTAAATAAGCAAGCAACTTAACTCTCCTAAAACAGACAAGGCTGAGCCTTCTTATTTACCATCTACATTGATTTTGTTCCTAGTTCTTGATGAATGAGGTTAGGCCTATTTGGAAAGTATAAAAATGTGGTTTAATAGAAAGCTTAATGTAATTAAAACATTGAACATGTTGTTTACTTCCTGATATACTCATAAAAAGAACTTGAATCCACCATTTCACCTCGTTTTAATATAAAAATGGCTTAAAAAAATAACTATTTGTGATTGAAGTATTGCTTTTCAGGACCATCTGCCAAACATTCTTGACAGTTTTCGACCAGAGCTTGTGTTGTTTGACGCTGGTGTGGATCCACACAAGGACGACGAGCTGGGAAAATTGCAGTTAACTGATGATGGTAAACAACCATGAAACCATGCCCAGATTACCATACTCTCAGTTATTGACTTTTTTTATAAATGCATAGAGCATAAAAACGTCCTCCAACAATACTGCATATATTTTACCCTTAATTGTAAAATCATTTATAAGACAGCAAATCTAAACACAAAAGATATTAACGGGCAATCTTGTCAATTTACGGTATCAATTTAGTCGAGTCACTTAAGTCATCATCAGGGCTGATCCAAGATTATGTGAGACATACAGTGGCTGCTCTAGCTGTACCAGACCCATGGCTGGTAACATGGTGGTTGGTAAGCTGTGTATCATGATCTGTGAAAGCTCAACATAGTGAGTCTTTACCTTGTCACACACTGTCAAAATTTGCTCATCACAAAAATAATCAATATGTATAAAGTACAAGATAGCAAGTGCAAAGCTTTCTCCAAAATATCTTATTGGCTGGCAGTATGAATGTTGAAATATGAATGTGAAGTATTTCTGCAACTTAATATACCTCCTTTGCATACAACCCAATGATTAAGCACTTTTAGATATACATTATTTCAGAAAGATTTGTTTAACAAGTTAATAATAAGCTAAATGCAATTTGACATTCAGATCCATATAAATTACTCTCTCTGCTAACTGAACTTTGTACCACTAAATAAGAAAAATTTCACAGGTCTGTTCAAGAGAGACGAATATGTACTTGAGCAAGTAATAAAGCGAGGAATCTCTGTAGCTACAGTGATTGGTGGAGGTTATAGCAGAGACCTGGACAAGTTAGCCCTTCGTCACACTATTGTCCACAGAGCAGCAACCAAGGTGTGGAGAGTCCTGGGCCTCTAGGTGAGATAATTATATCTAGAGCAAGTAGTAAATTGTAGAACCTCTGTAGCTACAGTGATTGGTGGAGGTTATAGCAGAGATCTAAACAAGTTAGCCCTTCGTCACACTATTGTCCACAGAGCAGCAACCAAGGTGTGGAGAGTCCTGGGCCTCTACGTGAGATAATTATATCTAGAGCAAGTAGTAAATTGTAGAACCTCTGTAGCTACAGTGATTGGTGGAGGTTATAGCAGAGACCTGGACAAGTTAGCCCTTCGTCACACTATTGTCCACAGAGCAGCAACCAAGGTGTGGAGAGTCCTGGGCCTCTAGGTGAGATAATTATATCTAGAGCAAGTAGTAAATTGTAGAACCTCTGTAGCTACAGTGATTGGTGGAGGTTATAGCAGAGATCTGAACAAGTTAGCCCTTCGTCACACTATTGTCCACAGAGCAGCAACCAAGGTGTGGAGAGTCCTGTGCCTCTAGGTGAGATAATTATATCTAGAGCAAGTAGTAAATGGTAGAACCTCTGTAGCTACAGTGATTGGTGGAGGTTATAGCAGAGATCTGAACAAGTTAGCCCTTCGCCACACTATTGTCCACAGAGCAGCAACCAAGGTGTGGAGAGTCCTGGGCCTCTAGGTGAGATAATTATATCTAGAGCAAGTAGTAAATTGTAGAACCTCTGTAGCTACAGTGATTGGTGGAGGTTATAGCAGAGATCTGAACAAGTTAGCCCTTCGTCACACTATTGTCCACAGAGCAGCAACCAAGGTGTTAGAGTCCTGGGCCTCTAGGTGAGATAATTATATCTAGAGCAAGTAATAAATTGTAGAACCTCTGTAGCTACAGTGATTGGTGGAAGTTATAGCAGAGACCTGGACAAGTTAGCCCTTCGCCACACTATTGTCCACAGAGAAGCAACCAAGGTGTGGAGAGTCCTGGTCCTCTAGGTGAGATAATTATATCTAGAGCAAGTAGTAAATTGTAGAACCTCTGTAGCTACAGTGATTGGTGGAGGTTATAGCACAGACCTGGACAAGTTAGCCCTTCGTCACACCATTGTCCACAGAGAAGCAACCAAGGTGTGGAGAGTCTTGGTCCTCTAGGTGAAATAATTATATCTAGAGCAAGTAGTAAAATGTAGAACCTATGTAGCTACAGTGATTGGTGGATGTTATAGCAGATACCTGGACAAGGACAAGTTAGCCCTTTGTCACACTATTGCCCACAGAGAAGCAACCAAAGTGTGGAGAGACCTATTACCACAGCCACCTCTAATACAAGGCTGCGGCGAGCGAAAAGTGGCAACGTCGCATCCGTGTCTTAGTGTGCGGTCGACTTACCATTACAGTGAATGGAGGAGTCGCGTACCGACGTACATAATCGCGTTTCTAATACCCTTAATAATTAGTAATGCCATTGAACTTGTTACTACAGCATGATGTGATATCATAGATGTGATATGGCTGGATGCAAGAATAATGACGAAAGCTCAATTAAAAATTAATAATACATACAGTGTTCTAAGATTCTATGTGATCCGCCGCGTAAGCAACAACAGCTTCCTGCTATTCATCGGTCAAATTAGACTTCTTAAAACAATTCTCGTTTTTGTATGAAACATTTTCACGAATATAAACTTAGATTTGTAAAACAAATGTAAGAATAAGACAATGATTCATGTAAATATAGACGCGAGTAGCGAGTTTTAGGTGGTAAGGCCGTACTATTTCCTTATTTATTTGTCTATCTTATTGATTAAAGCTGTTGTTAAGTGATTAAAATAACTTAAATAACTAGCACTTAGCACTTCAAAGAAATAAACCGGTGTTTCTGTTAAGTTTAATTAGGCCTACTAGTAAAAAAAAATGTACTACACCATCTAACAATAAAAGCATCATAGTCTCAGATTCCAGTCTGAATGTTGATGTGTAAAAAAAAATCTATGAATATTGTGGAAAGCCATATGGAGGCCTAGCTTCTGAAATCGTTTACAAAATGGCAAACGGTTTGCTTATTACATATTCAAAGAGAATAAATTATTTAGTTAGTATGCCTTCAAAATGAAAACTTAAAATTTTGTTGTCGCTAACTTATGGTTTCGGTTTCCTCAGGTAGACTAAAACATAATATTTCTATTTAAAACTATTTTATTTGAACAAATTGTTAGATATTAGTCTCTACAAATCCCAAAGTCTCTACAAATATTGAAGTTGCAATAAGGTAGTCCTACTGTATTACCATTCTTGGTATAGTAGCTATAATCTGTAAAATTTAAGCCCAGTCTGTCTAGTAGTTTTTACTATGTTGAATAACACACATATATACAGACACCACGAGATTGTTATAGAATAGTATAGATTATCAAATTAACAAAGGAAATATGTAAAGTCCATCTATTTCCACATTCATCGTATTACGATAAATGCAACCAAAAACATTATGTTTGTATATTTTTAGTTGAAGACATATAGTGGTACCTATGTTTTAATTTATTTTTCCCTAAATAAACAACCTAGATTCTAAATTGCCTTTTTATCACATTCAAACTAAAATATGTAATTTAAATACTTTCATTCATTGATACAGAGCAGCAATACTCTCATTGATGTTATTACCTAGCACGAGTGCCGGACCCAGGCAGCGGGTGAGTGCGGCATTGCCAGTTCGAACGTCGCGGCCTTGTATTAGAGGTGGCTGTGCTATTACTCATTGATGAGATCATTATGTTTATAGTATGGTGTTCTTGTTGTTTCATTACAGATGTTGAACGCATTCCATTTTTTTCTAGAAGTATGACCAGTACTGACGGCGGTATTTTGTTGTCTGGCAGTGTTGTAGAAGACAAAAGGATGAGGCTTTGAACAATATACTAAGTCTGGCAGTGCTGAAGAAAACAAGACGATGATGACAAATTACTACTAATTACTGCAAATACTGCTATTTATTTACCAAATATCATGTAGCCTGTATTTTATTAAAATAAATGTTACGAAAGTGGGACTACATTTTTTTTAAAGGTATTTTTTGGAAAAAAGTATTAGAACTTGTCTTCTTCTTAACTTTTGCATTTAGCAATGACTAGTAACTAACCTCTATGTTTGTTTCTTCCTGATTTTTTGCTGGCAAATAACTAACTAACTATTCACTTGTTGTTTGTATTGATACGTACTTGTCCAAGGCATTCTTTCTGTAGGTGACTTATAAGAATAAACTTTTTAAATGAATGAGAAACAAATATATTATTAAAGAAAGGAATACCCACTTTTATTCGGTGGGGCACACGGAAGATTTCTCAGGTGCCGTTTGACGTCACTAACTGCTGCGTCTGAAGAAACAGACAATTTTATAATTGTTCTATTATTAAATTAAACTGTCATAACCTAACCAAACGTGCTGATAATGGAAAAATCGAATGAAGGTTTACTAATCTAAAAAATAGTTTTGTTCATAAAATAAAATCAATGCCTAAAATTCAATTTTATATTTTTTGTATTATAAAATTAAACTGTCATAACCTAACCAAACCAACCAAACTTGCTGATATGAAAATAATTGTTGACAAAAAGTTAGTGCTACCAGCGAGATTCGAACCCGGTAGTTCGGATTATCAGACCGCTACGCTATCCACGACACCACCGAGGCCGATGGCTCCAAACCGTATCGTTGCGGTATTGGTGTTCCCTCATAGTGACGTCAGCAGTTAGTGATGTCAGACGGCACCTGAGAAATCTTCCGTGTGCCGTTTTGCACTTTTATTTAGATCACACAAACATAAACATGAACACAGCTTAATATAAAAAGTAAAACATGATCTTGAGACAATGTACATTTAAACAGTTCAGAGGCAAAATTGTCAATGTTCCAATAGTTTGAACATATATATTTGATTTATAACTGGACACATCTATAGATAAATCCTACTGGAACTCTGTAAAATTTAGTGCTTTAGTTTGATATAATAGTATACCACTTTTGAATATTGCTAGAACTAGAGGTTCCATCCCCATGTTAAAGTTGTTGCCAGGTTTTTAATTCAAAACTAGTTGAAGTGAGCCATTGACAGATTGCACTGATTTCTTTGACAAATTCCTGTCAAATATGCAGACTTTTGAAGTAAGTTAAACTGATACCTGACTTATTGTAACCCTTAGGTTACATAATGTAACATCTTTTGTATCATGTCAAATACCCCAGTGACAACAAATATGGTAGAAAATAGAATTTTATACACTAGTGCAATCTGTGACTGGCTCACAAATAGGTATGTTCTTCTGAATACAAAATTGGTGACTGCTTGTCCATATCACTGAGCTAGAGATAAATCTGGAGGTAGCACCGAATGAGAGAATTGAGAGACTTTGACCTGTCGACTTAATGTGAATTAAACTATGTATAGGGCATTTGATATAGATTTTTTGTAGCTTTGTATAGTAAAAGTGTGTGCAAAGTTTCAATTTCGTATGTTTAACCACTTTTCAGAAAAAAATAATAAGTGAAAAAACGAAATGGCGGCTTTGTGAGTAACTAAGGACTTCCAGACAATTTAAATTTTATGTTTCTTACCCAGGAACAATGGCCTAAAAAACACCATAAACACCCTTAACATATTTATTGGTAGAGAGTTCTGGGAAACTCTGTATAAAGATAATAACACTGTTACCCATGGGGCGCGTTTTGACTTCATAAGTATTGATAAAAACTATTGATTGCCGTCGTACCGGGTTAGGTGACATTTCGAAAGGCTTTTCATGGTCAATAAGTTTAGTAAGTCAATAAATCATTTAGCCTATTTGCCAAATTAACAAATACAATTTGCATTAACTATGTCAATGGTTACTTTGAAGTACAACATATTGGGCTTAATAAGCTGTCAGGGCAGAGCCCTAGAGTATTAAAGTAAAAGAATATGTTATGATCCTCATAATTCTAATCAAAATAGTTCAACCCCTCCCCCATTGCTGTAAAAATTACGGTTCAAAGTTAATTCTACTTTTGATTTTCTTTTAAAATATACTCCCAAAAACTCCCATCACTTAAAACCCATAATTATGGTTCTTGTTGACAAGCTAATGGGAAAAAGTATATTTCCTTAGTCAATGGTGTCAGATTGCGTACCGCTTGCCGTTTATTTATTTTTCTATTGCGCAATTTCTCTTTAGGTAATTGTTGAGCCGAAGAACTGTCCGCATGAACCCAACATACACCGCGGTTGCATAGACATCACCTTCGCCTAACACATCTGACGTGTTTTGACATTACAGGTACTTAAAAAGTAAAAAAAAATTTAAATAGCTAGTGATCATTACCTTATTTTTTCACACCTGAATGCCAATTTTGGTGAGAATCGCATCACCCATTTCCCCTACGAATTGGTAAAAAAATATGACAAATTTACTAATTTCAAGCTCCATATATCCTTATTCAACATAAAAAATATTTCTTATATATTTGTATCTATATTGTTTAGTATAATTGAAAATTGAACAATAACAACAAAATCTGAGATCAAATTTTCGACCAAACACCCTTAAGCTAGCCTGTGATGTGGTTAGTGGGTATATATAGTTGTTACTTTGTTCGTGTGTGGTGGGAGTGGCAATTCTGCCTGATGGAAAACTCATTGAGATTAGATTTAGTGTATGTAAGAATATTGTAGAGTACCCGTCCTTCGTACGGGGTTGGTATACAATGCTGCGTATTGTAGTTAAATATACTCGTGCTTTGCATTTGCAATTAGAGAGGACACGTTTTGAGAAAATTTGGTTTACCGGTACTATAATCTACGGTATACTGTAGTATACAGAACATCTACGATAGCCATAATGTTCTACCACTTCACCTAAACAATAGAAATAAGTAAAGTTCTCACACTAAGGTTTTTGTTGCTGCTTGGTTCAAATTAGCTGTTGTCATAAATGTATAAAGAACTAATGGTGTTGCACCCAGTTGGTAAACCGAGTAACCTTTTAATGCTATTGAATATCATAGAAACAAATTGTGTAGTTGAAACAGCTGGCAAAATTATTTAATTCCTTTTAAATATGAATACTCATAAGGTTAACATGGGAAACTCTAGAGCCGCTGGGGCGGAGCCCGAAAGGATTTTTGAGGTAAGAATATGTCTATATGTTAATCGGGAATGTGAGCTATCATCATACCAAATTTCAACACAATCCGACCAGTAGTCGGATAATTTAAATTATTCGACTACAGCAAAATTATTAACTATTAACTATATTAACTATGTTTTAGCAAAATTATTTTAAATTATTGACTAAAACATATACTGTGACTTCAGTTAATGCGTGATTGATCTTCAAACAAACAAACAAACACACAAACTTTCACATTTATAATATTAAGTATGAATATGATGTATAAATTAATTATGTGCAAATGTTTAGTCTGACAAAAATTGGTTTGTGAGATGTCTAAATATCTTAAGGATCATCAAACATTTGATTAACGCACTCAAACTTTACTTACATGAAGCGAAAATTTCAGTTATCTGTTAGCAATAGAATTAATCGTCTACTGACACTAAAATTGTGTAATAAATCATTTACACGATATACAGAATCAATGCCACCCAGGGCTACATGTTGATAATATCTACCTTCAACATTGATGATATCTTTTACTCAGCTGGTGACTGGTGAGGGTGAGAAAAAATTTCTGCTAGGTGGATGACAGACGGAGACAAACGTCAGTGTCAGTTCAGTTAAATTTTTCTGCTGCTTTCGGTTTTGTTGTGTTAAATTAAAAACAACAAACAAAGGAGTGATCAACTAAGGAAACGCCATGGTCACTTTGTGAACTTGGAAGTTTAAAACTGGTTCTTGAGGTATTCATTCAGTGAATTGTACAAGTGTTATTTTGTAAGCGGAAACAAAGACATCAAGGTTCAAGAAACTAAGTACTAACTAGTACTGATTACTGAAGGTTTTAGAGTGACTTCACTTGACTATACGTTTGATCTGATGTTCTTATCCTTAAAGTAGAGTTTCAGTTTTTCTTAAATTTGAAATTTCCAATATGTTTTCTATTTTTAAATATTTACCTCTTTTAGTTTTAACGTTTAGTTTTAACAAAAGTTATTGCAATCTTGCTGAATTCCAAGCTAATATTGATGGTTTTATGAATACGTTTGATGAAGCATATCCAACTGATAGTCCTACTTCAACTGATGAGATCACTGTTGAGAATGAATTCTTATCAGAGTCTTCAGCCCTGGAAGAAAGACCAAAAGATTATGAGGTAGGTTGTCATTATGTATTAAATTACGTACCAGTATTTCAGGTTAGGACTTCCTGTTCCTAATAAAAGTTGGCCTAAATTTTCAAATAAACTTAATTGGATTGTTAAGTAATTAGCCCTATCTTTACTGTGATAAAGCTAGTGATCACATTGAAATATTTGCATTTAGAGATGGTAATTTAAATCGCATAGGCTACAGTAAATATAAACGTGAGCGTTAACTGCTACATTAATGTAGAGACATTTGCTCAATGCTGTTGGGTTGGTATTCAAATTAAGTGTTGTGAAAATGTTGTCTAGGTGACTGTACATACCACCAAGAAAGGGCTTAAGCCAGGCAAAATTTTCTTCTACCGGCAACAAAAAATGCTTGGCCTATTATAAGTTGAAAGCTCTCACAGAGATCTGTCTAGGTAGCTAAAATTTTGGTGTTTGGTGTTGTTGTGGATTGTGGTGTTTTTTCCTATGTTTGTTAGCCTTTATTTATTTATTTATTTATTCATATGGTAGGCCTGTAGCAAGGCCACACTAAAAAAACAGGCTGTAATGCTCGTCAAACATGACGTCACGATAGAAGACGGCAATGACGTATTTTTGCCGTTTGTGATCAGCTGCTTGTTTTAATCTTTCCTTGGAAAATAAATAAATAAATACCCTCTGTCACAAAAATATCAAACATTACGTCATTGCTGTCTTCTATCGTGACGTCATGCTTGACGAGCATTACAGCCTGTTTTTTTAGTGTGGCCTTGTCTATAGCCTACACAATTTTTACAATAAATACAATAGATACAACAAAATAAATGATAACTTAAGTTAGGCCTGTTTAATATGTTCACAATCTACTCCCAAACATAAGTTTAGTTGCTCGTTCATCAGTTGATGAGTAAATTCTAGGACAATAAGAAAGGGAGTGTTAACTGCTACAAAGTACTAGGTTACTTACAGCAATGTGCCGGTTTTCTCTGAATTTACAAATAAATGTCAATGAGTTTGTCAAGAAAACACACCATGGAAATTCCCCGATAGTTTGCTGACAAATTGACTAAGTCAGCGCCATCAATATTTTGAATGGATCACGGTATCCGATATCATGCACCCTGAGTCCTTGGGAAGCTGTAGGGCCTAGCCGCTGGGATAGGGCCTCTCAGCAACTTAGTTCAGGGATCGACGAGGGGAGTCGACTCAGCAGGTGGGAGATGGCGTCTTCGATGGGAACGGAAGCGATGTTTTTGTGGGGACGATGGTATAGCCAAAATGGCATAAGATCACACAAATACACTATCTCCAAATTTTCAAATTAATCTTGCACTTATACTTTTAATACTTTTAATACTTTTCGATGAAATGGCGACCATTCAAAGTAGGTATTTTAAGCCAAGTATGAATGAAAATGAGTATAGGATGAGTGGCGCGATCTTGTAGTCTTGTTAGTGACTAAGGCCGACATATTCCTTAGACACAGCTGTTAATTAATAGCCCATACAGCTAATGGCAACTAAGGGACCTACAGTTTATAGTGGAATCTGAACCACATTGTTACCTTGGTATAGCCTATACGAATTGGTCTAATTATCAGGATAGTACTGCGGATAGTCGTAGTACTCACTCGTGCGGACGTTAATCCACACCAGAGAGTATCGCATCCACAGTGCATGCCTATAAATATCCACAATTCGTGACCTCCTAGTAGCTGGATTACAGGACGACGCCACCCGTCCCAGTCCCAAATATAAAACCAGATTGAATGTAAACAATTAAACGAAACCGGATGCTTTTTTGAAAAATGTCAAGTCTGTGCACAATCTTGAGCACAAGTTTGAGTAGGTAAACGTTTTAATAAAACTAATCACTGTCTATAAACTCTATACAGTAGACTCTTGATAATTCGAAATTGGTGGGCCAAGCATATAAATTTGAATTATCAAGAGTTTTGAATTATCAAGAGTTCGATTTATCGGGAGAAAAACAAACCATTCGAATTACAGAGAGTTCATTTGTTTAATACATACAAAGGTACAGCACGTTACAATAAAACATCATACCGTATTTTAGTACACTTTTAAACAATCAACGGCTTATTTTTCAGTTACTGTAGTTGCAAAGAAATCTATTATTTAGCGCCATATATTTCGCCAATAGCTGAACTATCAGCTGTCGACAACTATGATTGTGCTCAAGGAGATGTCGCGCAATCTAGAGATCGGATTGCCAACTTAGAAAAACAAGTCAGCAAAATAATTCAGACTACTGCTCTAACTAAACAAACATCAAAACGTCCAACACTAGCCTACCATGGGAACAGGATGTACTTGTACTGTATAGTTTCCTGTTATAACAGGAAGAGATAACTTCGATTTATAGAGTGTTTTGCCGACTAAACTTCGAATTAGGCCAGGCGCACACAGGCGATTTTGAGTCGCGCAACAGTTGCCCGACTAAAATGTTCAACATTGTTTTAAATTGGAGTGCGCACACGAAGGAAACAGTCTGGGGACAGTCGCGCAACTGTTGCAACCGATGTTCCCGGACCCAATTTGCCAGCGACTGCTCTGCGACTGAATTGTTGCGGGACTGTCGCTCCAGGTTTGGTATCCATTGAAACAAGTGTAGATGCGCACACATGCAACTAAATAGTCGCTGTGTCGCTCAGTCTCACCCCAGGAGGAGTTCAACTACTCGTGGCCAGAACTGTCACTAGTGTTTGCTCTCTTGTTGTGTGAAGATTTTAGAAAATTACAAGTATGAGTGTGCGTGATGCGTCAATGATGAGGATGTCGAACAATTAATTGATGAAGTAGAGAAGAGGCCGACTTTATTTAAAGTCATTGAAACTGTCCTTTCACAAGTCGCTCACTATATATGTGGGATGAGCCCAGTATCTCCTCTTTTTCTTTCGCGCGCGAAACTTCAGCAACAAAGCACATACTACGGCTGTATCATTGAAATCCATTCGGAACGCTGTAACGAATGTATTTCCAACACCTCTCAAGACTAGATCCGCGACTAAAAAGTTGCCTGTGTGCGCACTCCTGCTCAACTGTCGCTAGACTTCAGAGTCTCCGAGAGAGTTGCGCAACAGTCCCCCGATTAGTCGGGCAACAGTTGCGCAACTCAAAATCGCCTGTGTGCGCCTGGCCTTACTGCGTGACTGATTTATAGAGTGTTTTTTCGACGAAACTTCGAATTACAGCATGACTTCGAATTATAGAGTGTTAACCGACGAAACTTCGAATTACTGAGTTACTTCGAATTATAGAGTGTTTTTCCGACGAAACTTCGAATTACTGCGTGTTACAAATTGACCTGCCCTCTATTTGGACTTTGAAATACCGAGTGTATCAAAATGCATGGTAAAAATTTGAAATATTGAGAGATTCTCTAGGGACTGAGCGTTCATTTTGAATTATCGAAAGTTTTGAATTATCAAGTGTTTGAATTACCAAGAGTGGACTGTAATAAGAAAGATAACATAACTTTTATAGTATAGCCTATTGATGTGTTTGAACGATAAAATAATGTTTTTTGCGGTAATTGCGGTGTGATAGTTTATGACTGTGATGTACGTGTGTTGCCGGAACAATACTACATGCGGAACTAATTCAAATACCTACCGTAGTGGTTGATGATTGTAAACGTCTTTCCCTCTCCACTAACATTCAAATTGACCAATGAGAGGACGGGACCAGGGCCGGATTTAACATTTTGGTGCCCGTATGCCCAATAATATTTCTGCCCCCTAGTAGGATTAAATTGACTTTGGTAAAAACTATATCAGGCCTATAGGCCCTCTGTTAATAGCTTTAACACCACTCCCTCAATAAAATTATATCAATGCAAGTTTTTTTGAAGAATTTATTTGGTTCTGATCTGACTGGCCTTAACAAAATGCCATCTTAAAAACTTTTAAATTTTATGTATATTAGGTCTAAATAGAGAGCTCGCATTTGTGGGACTGAATCAAAACGATCTTGCCACAGAACATTCCTGCACAAAGCATGGCCTTTGCTGCTGCCGTTGTGGCTTTACAATTCAGGCCCAAAAACATGAACTCCGTAGAGTGCATGATACCATAGATTAAAAATAAACCAATCCCCTAGATGTTAGATTATTTTGCTATCCTTATGTATCAGCTGTAGACAAATTCTTGTTATTTCAGTTATTTAAAACCTCGTTTAACAAAATAAAGGGATCCACAATTTACTTGCTCGTTCCCTGGTTTTATTACAAGAAATTCAAACACATATCATAAAATTAATGCTAATACTAGGTGGCGTTCGCAGAGGCATCCACAAAATTGAGCGGAGCCTTCAATGGTTCATATTATATTGTTTTTTGTCATACTGCATTAAAAACAGTAGTTTTTAATGCATACGTTGCGGGTCTAAAGCAGCATTTTTGATATTTAGGGAGTAAAAATCGTAATTAGCCTCTATGTAGTAAAAATCAGCTGTTGTCAACTCAGTTGTAAATTTCGATTGTAAACGATTGCATGTATCGAAAATATGTATTGATTCGTGCTTTGTAATCATTTTAACATACAGTCTACAGTCTCTTCCCATAGCATTTTAGCATTGCAGATACATTAATCCATTCCCAAACACAACACTGTTCACCTTTACTACTTCCTTCGCCACACCCTACGTCGTGGACCTGTTTCCCTCTCTTCCAATAGCACTTTAGGATTGAAAATACATTAATGTAATTGCCAAAGACAGTTCCCACACTCTGCACTGCTAGCCGTACTACTTCCTTCACCATTTACTACGTCATAGACCTGTTTCCTTCCCTTCTCATAGCATTTTAGTAATGAAGATACATTATTCTAGCTGCCACAGACGGATCTCACACTATGCTGATGCCCATTTGGGGATTCATATTTCATAAATTGTTTTTTGTACCATTCAATTGATGTTCTGTATTGAAATAATAAAAAATTCATTCATTCATTCATTCATTCATTCATTCATTCATTCATTCATACTTTACTACTTCCTAAGCCACTTCCTACGTCGTGGACCTGTATTCATCACTTTCCATAGCATTTTAGTATTTTAGATACGTTAATCTAATTGCCACAAACATTCCCACACTCCGAACTGCTAGCCTTTACTACTTCTTTCACCATTCCCTATGTCGTGGGGCATGCTTCCATCCCTTCTCTAGCGGTTTCCATTTCCCACACTCCTCACTGCTCACCTTACTACTTCTTTCACCTCTTCCTACGTCGCGGATGCGTTTCCCTGTCTTCCCATAGCATTTTAAGATTGTAGATACCTAAATCTAATCGTCATAAACAGATCGCACACTCCAAACAACTCGCCTTTACTACTTCCTTCACCACTTCCTACATCGCGGACCTGTTTCCTCCCTTTCGGTAGCATTTTAGGATTGCAGATACCTTAATCTAATCGTCATAAACAGTTACCACATTCCGGACAGCTCCCATTGACTACTTACTTCGCCACTTCCTTCGTCGTGGACCTGTTTTCCTCCCTTCTCATAGAATTTTTGGAATGCAGATACCTTAATCTAATGGTAAAAAACAGTTCCCACAGTACGGACTGCTTGCCTTTACCACTTCCTTCACTGCTTCCTACGTCACGGACCTGTTTTCCTCCCTTCCCATAGCATTTTAGGATTGCAGATACCTTAATCTAATGGTGAAAAACAGTTCCCACAGTCCGGACTGCTTGCTTTTACTACTTACTTCACCGCTTCCTATGTCACGGACCTGTTTTCCTCCCTTCCCATAACATCATAGGATTGCAAATACCTTAATCTAATGGTCACAAACAGATCCCACAACCCAAACAGCTCGCCTTTAGTAATTCCTTCACCACTTCCTACGTCGCGGACCTGTTTCCATCCCTTCCAATAGCATTTTAGGATTGCAGATACCTTAATCTAATCGTCATAAACAGTTCCCAAACTCCTGACAGCTGGCATTGACTACTTCCTTCACCACTTCCTTCGTCGTGGACCTGTTTTCCTCCCTTCCCATAGAATTTTAGGAATGCAGATACCTTAATCTAATCGTCATAAACAGTTTCCACACTCCAGACTGCTCGCATTTACTACTTCCTTCACCACTTCCTACGTCACGGACCTGTTTTCCTCCCTTTCCATAGAATTTTAGGAATGCAGATACCTTAATCTAATCGTCATAAACAGTTCCCAAACTCCGGACAGCTCGCATTGACTACTTCCTTCACCACTTCTCCTTCGTCGTGGACCTGTTTTCCTCCCTTCCCATAGAATTTTAGGAATGCAGATACCTTAATCTAATCGTCATAAACAGTTTCCACACTTCAGACTGCTCGCCTTTACTACTTCCTTCACCACTTCCTATGTCGTGGACCTGTTTTCCTCCCTTCCCATAGAATTTTAGGAATGCAGATAGCTTAATCTAATCGTCATAAGCAGTTTCCACTTTCCAGACTGCTCGCCTTTACTACTTCCCTCACCACTTCCTACGTCGCGTACCTGTTTTCCTACCTTCCCATAGAATTTTAGGAATGCAGATACCTTAATCTAATCATCATAAACAGTTTCCACACTTCAGACTGCTCGCCTTTACTACTTCCTTCACCACTTCCTATGTCGTGGACCTGTTTTCCTCCCTTCCCATAGAATTTTAGGAATGTAGATAGCTTAATCTCATCGTCATAAGCAGTTTCCACTTTCCAGACTGCTCGCCTTTACTACTTCCTTCACCACTTCCTACGTCGCGTACCTGTTTTCCTCCCTTCCCATAGAATTTTAGGAATGCAGATACCTTAATTTAATCGTCATAAACAGTTTCCACACTCCAGACTGCTCGCCTTTACTAATTTCTTCACCACTTTATACGTCACGTACCTCAAGCTAGTGTCGTCATTTGATTATAATTATGATCCATACCGTTTCTGTTCAAATATCTGTGGAATAATGCTATCAGCTATGTCTTTATCTAATGCATTCAAAATTCAACTGCTGATCATATGTCTTTGTTTATGTGTCAAATTCTGCTTCCATAAGGGTTACATTGAAACTTTGAGACCCAGTGGGGCGGATTCCTGAGAGACTTTTTTAACGCCATATAGATGTTGGCACTCACCGATATGGTCTTTATCACCATGCAAAATTTGAAAACGATTGATTCAGCCGTCTAGGAGGAGTTTGCGTATTACGAAATGCATAAGATTCGACGTATAAGAGCTTCGCTCGCTCTGCTCAATAATAAAAAATATTTTGTCAACACTAGCAGCCAGTGTCACTACCATGAGCTAGACATTTAAAACAATCTTTAATACTTTAATTATTTTACAATTTGATAGAAGTCCACTTGTGTTGGTTAGTCTATGGTTATACTGCATCCAAATTATATTCGCAAGGCAAAAAAAAAAGCAATGCTTTAAAGAGTATTGCATTTTTTTAAACCTATTGCAGACTCAGATTACTGTTTATTTCCTATTTTTAAAAACAATGTTGTTCATCAAAAGATTAGTAACCTTTGTTTTACGAGTTGAGGGTGGTAACGGTGTCTCCACAATATTGTTGTGAGGTGGGACCGCTAAAAAAACTAATTTAGTACCGGTAGTTAAATGGAAATTCGCTTAGTCTGCAGGTTTGCTGTGGAGGGGGTATTTTTAATCGAATGGGTGTGTTACAACAAATTAGTTTTAAAGAACCCCGTTATTATTCTCTGCATTCTCATCCCGTTGTGAATGATTAAAAGTAGCAGTCATACTGCTAACACAGTGCTGGTGCTCAAGTTGTTCGTCGAATCATACCCACGAGCGCTAGTCTTGTCATGTGCTTGCTTATAACTGCAGCTACTCGGTCGGCCGATGGTGGCGTGATAGCTCAGATGGCTAAGGCGTTGCATTGACGAATGCAGCGTTGATGTCATTCTACACGAGCGGGTTCAAATCTCGTGTGACGTGTGCAGTCCTGACTAAGCTTAATAATGTGTGGCTTAGCTGGCAGGAGAGGCCCACCTTAAATAAACGGTGTCCAGCTTGGGTGTGAATGTGTGTATTTACACCAGTGGCATTTTTTACGTTTTGAAAGGGAACGGTCCAAACCCTGGTCTTGTTACTATCTAAGGTCAACCTTTTTGTTAGATCGGATCATTAATTCATAGCCCAATGACAAATGGCATCTGGGTCTGGAAACAATCTCGCTTGGGTGGAAGTTAACAGCATTATTGAGTATAATAGGGTTTGCACACAACACCTGTTTTGCTATTTTTACATTAGTATAGAGGAGAAGGACACACTTTTTTGCTTTAATTTTGGTTAAAAATGGACACATCTTGTTCAGCAATTTACTGACATAACATAATAAATAAAAAATCCCGATTTTGATGATACTCTTCACTAGATAAATTGTTGTATAGGCTACATAAATTATTAGATGCCATTTCCAATTCATATGCTCAAAATAAGGTCAAAATGTAATCAAAAGTTGAATGATAAAGAGGAAGAATTATTTTATAGTTCAAAAAATCTTAACACAGTTAGTAACTACAATAACAAGAACTTTAAACAGACAATATGATAATGAATTTCTAAAATACGAACATTCAGCGTCTGCATGTTGGACCTGAGGTTATCAAGAGTTACTAGTTCATGGACAGTTTGTATCAATTAGTTTTCCCCAAAAATTTAGTTTGAAATCTCATTACAGTAAGTTAAATTAAATGATGCTCAATGAAACGCTAATGACATGGATGGCTAATACATATGGATCAAATGTCTTATCTTCAGAATTTTTTTGTTTTTTACATTATTGTATTCCATATTATAAATCAATTTAGTGGCCAACAAAATCAAATTGATTAGCCTACAATTTAACCGGCTTTTGTATGTATGTTCATCCTACCAAATATAATTATTTGTTTCTGCTAGATTCGTGTTTTTTGTCAGACCGCTTCGCATGCAAGAGCATAGGTATCACCTCAGACCCCTCCAAGTTCCCCAAGGGGGGGGGGGGGGTCATGTACATAACAAATTGTTAATTTTTGTAGCCCACCAACAATCTTAATCCAAGTAAATCTCATCTACTTTCTAATGTGGTTACTCTACTCACAAGTTATTTATATAGGTACTTTCACTGTTTATGTCAGGTGTGCCTCCACCTGTGGGTATGGCTCAACCAAAGATAGGTGGACTACTTATGAGTTACAGAGAGATGAAATTCCCTCAATTCTGTGGTGCTGTCTCCAGTCCAAGGCCTGCTCCACTGATAGATCCCACTTACAAAACTGATCAACCCAAAGCCCAATGCGTAGTAGTTCAGTGAACTCAAGGTTTCATAAGTTGTAGGTGTCATTGTATAGGAGTTTGGATCTTTGATATAGCTAATTATCTTATCAGCCCTTTTAACTCAAAGAGTTAATTAAACTACATTACAAAATTCACTGTATCAAAAGTGGGTGACTGTTTTGTGATATGACCCTCCTGCTCAAACTAAAAACCTCAAATCAACTGTCCCCTCATGTTCAAGCATGAATAATTGACTCTTTTTTGTTATCAGGACCACTGGGCATCAGTGCCTAATATACATAACAACGATAAATATAATGCATTCAGTCATTGTGGTATTATACATTTCTATATGGGTTGTACAGGAAACTGGTGGTGTCCAAGAGGAGCTAGTGGTGACTGAGACTGTCTTCCAACCAGGCAGTGAAATCCGACATGAGGTCAATGAAGATCTGATGAAGATGGCTACCAGGCTGGTGTCATCTATCAGTCCTGACCTGGAGTTGGTTAACATCACTGAGGCTGTGTCCATGGTAAGTGAACTGGTAGCTGAGACTGTGTTCCAACCTGGCAGTGAGATCAGATATGAGATCAATGAAGATCTGGTGAATATGGCTACCAGACTGGTGTCATCTATCAGTCCTGACCTAAAGTTTGTCAGTTCTTCTTATTTGTAAATTTAAGAGAGAAAATTATTCTCTCAAATTAACACTATTCAACCAAATTCAGTGATCAAAGAAATTTAATAAATTTGTATATTCTGCTGGTCAAACAGGGTGTACACCAAATGGAAAAATAGGGGAAAGATTCATGAATTTGAAGGGACCTGGATAAAACTGGGGAAAATTAGGAACTTTCAGAGTTATTTTGGGATATTTATTTCAGCCATAATTACTACAGTAGAAGTGTTGGAGCTCGATTTCCGAGCTGAGTTGAGCCTGGCCAAGAGGTTGAGCACAAAGTTGGAAAATCGAGCTTGAGCCGAGCTTTTACAATCAGGATCGTAAAACGTGTCTGCGAAGTTTACGTGATCGAAAAATTCTTGCATTTGCCAATATCACGGAAGACACTGATGACTTTTCTGTGACCCGAGGTGACGATGATAATGTCTAGAAACAGCAGAAGATATTTAGGATTTTTCCGCTATCAGAGGAAAAGGTGTTTTTGTGATCTTAGGGAATTATGATAATAAAAATGAACACGATATTAGGGATTACAATTTTTGGAACGCTAGCTCTCTGAACTTTGGAACGATTCGATTATACAAATATGATATGAGAACAAACTTAAGATTTAGGCCCATGGATGTTACTTAAGAAAAAAAATAACCCTATGAATTCTAGCAAGTACATGATAACCAGAGCTGATTATTACAGGTAACAGACAAAGTTGAACGGTCGTTCTCTCTGAGAGTGGCGCAGCGTGACTGTGAAGCAGACTGCAGTATTGCCTGTCGTGTGGATGTGGTGAGTCATGGAGAGGAAGACACTGTCACTTGGCACAACTGTTTAGAGACCAACGAGGTCCCGAGAGCAAAGCGAGGTGCTGTGGGCGGCTTCAAACAGGTAGGAGGCATATTTCCGCAGTATTGTCTACTTTACGTTTGGTATGAAGTCTTATAAACTAAATGAAGGATGTTAAAAATGTAATACTGTAACTGTAGATTCCCTCACCTTGACCTGAACCATGCAGATTATAATGATGTTTTACTTCTAATGATATGAGTTTTCCTTTAATATTTTCATGAGCAAACTGAACAGATAAATAGAATTTATAGGCATACTGTTTTTCATATTTTGTCATATTTCTTAATCATTGCTCTTTTTCTTCTTGTTACACTATATTGTGTGAGGCAATATATATTTAATTTTCTTTTAAATGTCAATCTATTGTTATACTGTGCGGAAGATGGACTCGATCTCCAACCCCAGGCACTAGCCCATCTGGGGATTTTTTTCCCAAAACTTTGTTCTTTACATCATTTGCATTTAATATTTTTTATTGAAATAGAGCATCGTTCATTCGTTCATTCACCAGACGAATAATATGGGTATTTTAAGGAGCATAAAATTACCTATTAAAGAGGTGTTAACAATACGTCTATTTACTGTTAATTAAAACTTAAGAATCAATCTATTTAATGCATGCTACTTGAAATAAAAACTCGAAAATGCTAGTGGCTTTTGCTGAGACTTGTGTGGTCAGAAAGTGAGCAGAAGGGGTTGGTTATTTCAATGAGCCGTTTATCCTGATGACAGATGTGGGGGTCTTCTGGACATTTAATACATTTAATACTTCATCATATTAGTAACATACTTGGGAATAACGAATAGAAATTCTATCGAATAGCACTATTCATTAGTTTTTTTGGCTAACTTCTATTTTATTAGTTTGTTTTTAAATTAACTAACTAATAACTTCTATCAGTTACTTTTTACGGGACTAACTAATAACTTCTAACTAGTTAGAATTTTCAACTAACTTTCCCAATTATGCGGAAGCATCTCAAATACTGGTTATTTATTTCACGTGATCAGTGAGGGTTGCGTGCGGCCGTGAGAGGTCAGTGCCCTTGTAGACAAACAACGCGGGGGGTGGGGAAAGAGAAAGTCAAAGTCCAGTTGCTTTGGAATGCAGTGGGCCTGTGGAAGGGTAGTGACGGCCATTATCAACACCCCAAGCACTGATGGGTGGGAAGGGGAAATGTTTGTTTGGATTGATATATCAAGTGTCAAAACATTGTCTTTAGTTGATGTTCATTATCTGACAAGTTTTATGTCATTTGTTTATGTTGTAGTAATGTAAAATGTGACATGGTTTGATTAAAACACAAGTACCAGGGGACCGATCTTGCTCGAGGTGTTTGACTTGTTCAAGAGGTAAAAAATAGAGCTTATAAGCCTACAAATATTTTCAGTCTTACTACGATTAATTAAGTAGTAAAGTCAATTCGTTTTTGTTAGACATCCACTTATCCTCAATTTAGTCTACAAAACTTTTTAATTTGGACGATCAATCTATAAAATGTCCACAATAAGCTTCAATCAATTTAAAACTCATGATACATAACATCTGTTATCTGACGACCGTTATTGCATTAAGTCCCTGGGATCGTGGAACGTTGCAACTATAATTACGGGATGGTGTAATAACGCATCAATTCGTGCGGTGCATCGTCGAAAAATACAAATCTCCTTGGCCTTTCCTTTAGATTTTTAGTTCAATGTCAGTGTATATTGTTTTGCAGTAAAACACTTAATGTTTTTGAACAGTGGTAATTATCCCTTTGGTTAGTAAGACATCATACAATGCAAATGTATTATACAAGCAATTTTCAATAGCATTGAAATTGGAGGAAATCGTAGGAGCCATTTTTAAAATCATATCTTGCGCAATCTTTACTCATATTATAGTATTAGTAACCAAGATGTGACATTAAAAAATACTTTAATACTTTAAAACAACTGCCCAACGAACAACTAATTTCTACTAAAACTAACTTTATTTTCTATCAGTTAGTTTTTCAACTAACTAATAACTTCTATCAGTTACTTTTTAAACTAACTAACTTATAACTTCTATCAGTTACTTTTTACGGGACTAACTTATAACTTCTAACTAGTTAGAATTTTTGACTAACTTTCCCAACTATGATTAGTAAACATACAAACAATTGTTAAATCATATGCAATTCCATCACGGAAGGTGAAAAAGAGGCTATAAACAGACAATTCATTTATGGGGAAACCCCAAGTGTATTAAATGACACCAGAACTAAGAGTAGCAATGTCTAGGTGGACCAGGCTGAGGCTCAGGAGTTAGCAGAGATTGCGGCTCAGACTCTAGACTCCATTGATGCTGATGATGTGAGGCGAGTTGTCACACAGGTCATCCGAGCACAGAAACAGGTGACTAATCAACAGTTTATTGTGCAACCTGGTTAATAGTTCTCCAATGTTCTTCTGCAGATGATCAAGGAAACTGTAGCTAACTGAAGTATTGGCAAATTGAAAAATAAAGAGTAGTTCAATTCTAATGATGTTTTCTATCGATTACAATCACAAGCTATAAAATACTCAATTACTCTTGGCTTTATAATTTAAAATAGTGATGTTTCAATACCATAATTTATTGATTACCGATAGGCTACCTAGATTATCCATTGTATGTTCTCAATATCAATAACATTCAAATTCAAATTCAAATTCAAATTCAAATTATCTTTATTTATATTATGTACAAAACGTACAATAAATAGTGTCAAGCTTATAATTACTATGTACAAATACTTAACCTAAACAAAAAATACAGAAAATAAAACTATCTATAGCTGTATACATTCATAAACAGTTCATCTATTGAGTAGATGGGTTTTTCTATCAAAAATTCTTTAAGTTTTTGTCTAAACTTTTTTTATCCTTAATATCTTTTATTTCATCTGGTATTATCTTTAAAAACTTTACACCGGCATATGAGGGCTTATTTTTATACATTTCTAAGTTGTGTTTTGGTAGAACTATATTATTTTTGTTTCTAGTGTTGTATTGATGGGTTTCACTATGTGTTTTAAATTTTTCCTGGTTATTTTTTACATGTATTATACATTCGAGTACGTACAAACTAAACACAGTTAATATTTTCAAAACCTATCTCTTATAAACATTTGTGGAAACCACCAGCCATTCCGGGGATAGTGGACCAGTAGGAGTATATTTTTGGCTTTCTAATTATGCCCATATTGAAAATGCAAGCAATAAAACCTTTGATCTCTGGAACGCAAGTCGGTAACCACTTCTTGGTTCTAGAGTTATCACTGAACTCAGAACGCTCCAAACATTGTGATGCATATCTATTTGTTTCTCTAACAATGCTGTTTAGATGCAAAGTTGTGAAAAACAAATTGAAATATGAAACTGGGGGGGAATCTGGTGGTGGCATATGCTTTGGTCCTGGAAGTTCATGGTATGTTACTGGACAAAGTGGGAAATCAACATCAGGTCCAATTTCTTCCCAAATGTCTCCATCCGGTGCCCCTGGAATTGGGTTTTCATGTGCAATAGGGTCTAGCTGTATGGGCGGGTTCACTATTTGGTTAGGTTCATCTAGGCCTACCATGGCAATAGGGTCTGGCTGTTTGGGCGGGTTCACAATTTGGTTAGGTTCATCTAGGCCTACCATGGCAATAGGGTCTGGATATGCGGTCGGGTTCAATATTTCGTCAGGTTCATCTACCATCTCCTCCTCAAAAGTGGTGGATTGTACATTCCTAATTGGACTTATAGGAGGAGAATGGTGAGGATTTCGTCCACGCTTGGAAATAATTTGCTCTAACCTGGATGGTTTTCGCTTTTTGGGCGTTGACGACACAAATTCTTGTGTAGGCCCACTGTCGATGGATTCGTCTGCACTGTCGTCCTCAGAAGATGGTATATAATCCATGTCTTCGTCGGTATCGTCAGGTTCACTTGGCGAATCAGGTTCATCTTCATCTGTCGTAGGTACGTCGTCATCCTCCTCTTCAAAATCGGAAATATTCTGTGTCAGTTGGTCACTAAAAGACTGGTCAATTGTTAGTGTCCCAGTGTCATTTGAAGAGATATCACTGATCAAGGCACGAAGCCTTTCCTCGTCCCCGGCAAAGTTATCACGATCCATTGTTCATGATCCACTTTACAACAACTCGTTTTATAAATAGGCCTAACTCGCAAAACTACACAATATCTAAATATACGAAACTAAAATACCCCCGCCGCAGCAAACCTGCAGACTAAGCGAATTTCCATTTGCCTGATTGGATTTACACTAAAATGTCTCCTTAAAAATATCACATTTATCCCTATTTAAATAGAATCAGTTTAACACATACTTAGGTTTGCTGCAACAGGGAGGGTAAAAGTGTTTTTTTATGTAAAATGTTAATTGTTAGTAAGAAATAAAAACATGTCCCAAATTTGGGCAAAATATTTTAAAAAACAAGCAAACTACAACAGTTTACTTATTCTCCATAAGAATAACATGGGCATTTTAAATTTGCAATTTTTTGGAATTTTCTCCGTAACCATTAGGCGCATTACAACGCTTTAATATACTAAATTATTTGTTTTTTTAAGCTCTACAAAATAGTTCAGAAAGAAATTGCAAAATTTGATGTTTTTTGGGTCAAAAATGGGAAAAACCCATTTTTACCCCATAAAACCCCCCATAAACTCCCGTTCCCATGGCCCGATCATGCTGGTTCGCGAACTCGTTCGAATAAACGTAGGTTTACACGTTTGTACCAAATTTAATCAAAATCAGATCATTTTTGCTCGAGTTATCGCTCTAACGGACACATATATATATAAATATATATATATATATAAATATATATATATATATATAGGTATACTAGTGGGCCTTAAGTTGATACTTGTCTTAAATCTTACCTACTCTTGTTGATACTCAGTCTAAAGTTGATACTATCAACATTGGAGCACTCTGGTATCAACATTTCAGTTATATATTCACTTGTAAATCTATATAAATGCACTGCTAATGTTGATACTGTCGTATAACCTAAAAATCGGTCGTGGCGGACTTTGGTGTATATTCCCAGCATTTTGAGGTTATGTTATGTGGCTGTGCTCTACATAAATGCACTGCTAATGTTGATACCATCGTATCACCTAAAAACCGGTCTGTTAGTAGCCTATTGGTGTAGATGCGTGGACTTTGGTGCATATTCCCAGCATTTTGAGGTTATGTTGTGTGGCTGAGCTCTATATAAATGCACTGCTAATGTTGATACCATCGTATAACCAAAAAACTGGTCTGTTAATAGCTTATCGGTGTAGATTCGCGGACTTTGGTGGATATTCCAAGCATTTTGAGGTTATGTTATGTGGCTTAGCTCTACATAAATGCACTGCTAATGTTGATACCGTCGTACAACCTAAAAACCGGTCTGTTAATAGCGTAGTGGTATAGAGTGGCGGACTTTGGTACATATTCCCGGCATTTTGAGGTTATGTTATGTGGCTGAGCTCTATATAAATGCACTGCTAATGTTGATACCATCGTATAACCTAAAAACTGGTCTGTTAATAGCTTATCGGTGTAGATTCGCGGACTTTGGTGCATATTTCCAGCATTTTGAGATTATGTTATGTGACTGAGCTATAGATAATTGCACTGCTAATGTTGATACCGTCGCATAACCTAAAAATCTGTCATGTTAGTAGCCTATTGGTGTAGAGTGGCGGCCTTTGGTGCATATTCCCAGCATTTTGAGGTTATGTTATGTGGCTTAGCTCTATATAAATGCACTGCTAATGTTGATACTGTCGTATAACCTAAAAATCGGTCTGTTAATAGCCTAGTTGAGTGGAGTGGCGGACTTTGGTGCATATTCCCAGCATTTTGGTGCATATTCCCAGCATTTGAGGTTATGTTATGTGGCTGAGCTCTATATAAATGCACTGCTAATGTTGATACTGTCGTATAACCTAAATCCGGTCTGTTAGCCTAGTTGTGTAGAGTGGCGGACTTTGGTGCATATTCCCAGCATTTGAGGTTATGTTATGTGGCTGAGCTCTATATAAATGCACTGCTTGTGTTGATACTGTCGTATAACCTAAAAATCGGTCCGTTACCAGCCTAGTAATGTAGATTTTCAATCCTATTGTATGAATAGAAGCTTGATTTTAATGTCATTGACATAGAGCGCCAGCAGGCAGTGACCACAGAATTAAAATAGAACGGGCACGCCAAACGGTAGAGTGAAGTGAAGCCTGTTTCCAATGCTTCGCACCTAACCAACATTGTATGCCACTGTGACGAGTCACCCAATACGGTGCGCGCACCTAACTGTTTTGTATTTTTACTATCTATTTTACTATTTCCTAAACTATTTTTTAGTCACTGACACATTTTTAACAACTAAGAATGTAGTAGACGTAATGGTGTCAACATTTTTAAAACAATGCATATGACTCATCTTGTTTCCAAATGATAATTTCTTGGATCGTTTTTGTTATACCAGCTGATCAGCTTTTTTCTAATGTTTGGGATTGTACAGTTATGTTTTCTGTTTTCGCCTATAATAAAATGAGTTACTAAAGTTATTTAAATCTATTCTTTTACTAAAACACAGCAGTTTTCAAATGATAATTTCTTGAATCGCCATTTCAGACAAAGTATTAAATGTCTTAAAGTGTTAAAATAATCCATCGAATAGTTATCATCAATCAGTAGATTCATTTCTATGTACACACATGGCAAAATTAATATTGATTGTTTTATAAATTATATATTTATGGAATGATGGAGTGAGCTGTTTTTGGTGTAGTATGTAAGGAAAAGGTTACTCAGGGGAAATTCAAAACTAATACTGATTCCTGAAAAGGTAGGATAGAGGAGAAATATGGAGTCTTGAGGGTCTTAAATCAGTTCAGTAACTAGCCACCCCATAATTTTATACTTCAAGATTGTTAATATGAAACTAGCTGTAGATAATAAACTGGGATGGTAATGGGAAAGGATTAAATATATAATGATATTAAAAGTATCAGTAATTGTACATCGGCATTTAGAGGACAAAATGATGTGCGAGAGAGAACAATACCTTTTCCTACAGTCACCTGACAATGTGGGCTTTCTTGCACTGATTATAGAACAGAAAGCTGCTAATTGCTGCATTTACTTACTTCGCCGCACACTTTTGACTTTTCGCGCCGTTTTCTTCTTTGTCACACACGACACCACTCTCTACCAAATAACACAAAAAACGTGCTTTCATTATGCTCACAATCCTTTTACGCTGGGAAATGGGTTGATGACACTTAAAAATACCATGACTACGATCAGCTGGTGCAGCATTTCCCATTTTAATTTTTTTAATTCAAGCCTAACCTAAAAATGTGTTATAAAG